TCTCGGCTGGGGTCTGGGCGGCGCCCAGCCCGACGGGGCCCCGATCTCGGCCGGGGTCTGGGCGGTGCCCGGCGCGACGGGCTCCAGTTGGATTCTCTAGGTGCTACTGTCATGCTGGTAATAACGGGGCAGAGGGTTGTGGGGCAGAGGACCCAGAGCTCTGGGCTTTGGCAGGGGGACAGCTCACGGCATAGGAGTGAGTGAGCTGAGGGCCCTGGGGGGCGTGTTAGTGCCCCTGGGATTCCCCCCAGTGCTGGCCCCACACCCCCGGCCAAGCGCATTCAGGGGCTGGCACTAGGACCTCCCCACGCTGCGCCATGGGCTGGAGCAGGTCCGATCAGAGCCCTGCCCGGCCCCTGCCAGCCAGCCGGGCGAGCGGGCCCCTCCCGGCAGCACCGGGCCCCCGGCTCTCGGCCCCGCCCGCACCTGGGATTTCTCCACGGAGGCCGTGTGCTTGTCGCACATGGGGCTGATCTCCATGCCCCGCTCCCGCTCCTTGTCGCCCTGCCGAAAGAACTCCTCCATGATGCGGTCGGTCCACTGGCGGTACAGCTCCAGCGGCTTGGTGGGGTTGCTGAGGTCGGCGCAGTGAACCATGTTCCGCAGGACCTGGGGTGGGGAGAACGAACAGTGTGGGGACTGGGCCAGCGCCCCCCACCCTGCCCCCCCAGGAACCCTGCCCCCGGTGCAGCGAGCCCGGCCAGCCTCCAAGCTAACCCGGGCCAGGTGGGTCAGGATGGACGGCTCGTTCGCCTGGCTGATCTGGGGGGCCTCCATCTCCCTCCCCCCCGTGTCCCATGCACTGGGGGCCCTCCCCAGCCCCCACCCACCTGGATCCGGTCCGTGTAGTTGTCTAGCAGCAACACCCCGGAGCTTGTCACTTTCTTGGTCTCCACCATGGTCTTGAGGTCGGCCAAGAGGCTCATGTGCTTGGACATGTCGGTGGCGAGGACCTGGGGGGGGGAGGAAACGGGGGGCACAGACTGTCACGGGAGGGAGAGGAGGAGCCACCCAGGACCCAGGAGTCCTAGCACAGCGCCCCTTGCCCCAGCCCCCCACAGCCCGCCCAGAACCCAGGAGTCCTGATTGCCAGGTCCCTCCCGGAGCCAGGGACAGCCCAGACCCTGCCCCGGCACGACCCTCCTCCCTCCCTCCTACCCGGTGGCAGGGCTGGGAAAAGGGCACAGACGCCCCCCCTGCTCTGATCCCGCCACCAGGTGCGGGGATTGGACCCCCGGGGGCCGGCCAGGGACACTGCATGAGCTTCCTCGGGGGGTGGGGGGAGCAGGGGCTCGGCTCCATCCCGGCTCACCATGTCGATAACCATCTTGCGTAGCGTCTGGCGCTGGCGCTTGCCGAGGCTCTGGAAGATGTCGCAATTCTCCTCCTGCAGCAGCTTGAAGCCTACGGCCAGGTGGTGGTTCTCCAGGACTGACTCGTCGTTGTACATCAGGGCCAGCTCCGAGTCTGCGGGGCGAGGAGGGGTCAGGGGGCGCCGGGGAGCCGGCCTCAGCCGCCCCGGCTCCTACCCCCCTCAGCCGCCCCGGCTCCTACCCCCCTCACCCCGTGCCGCGTGCTCCCGGGAGGGGGAATCAGTGCATGGCGGGGAGCTGCGTGCATGGGCCGGACTGACACAGCCGGCTGCACGGGGGGGACGGGGCAGCTCTGACGGCAAGCACGGGGGGTGCACACGTGTCAGAATGCACACAGGTGTGCGTGTATCGCGGTGCACGGCCGTGTGCGCAGGAGGGCTGGTGTGTCCATGTCCCGGTGCACGGGGGTGTGCGCAGGAATGCTGGCGTGTGTCCCGGTGCACGAGGGTGTGCACAGCAGGGCTGGCGTGTGTGTCCCTGTACACAGGGGTATGTGCAGAAGGGTTGGTGTGTGTGTCCCCCAGTGCACAGGGGTGTGTGCAGGAGTGCACGCGTGTGCGCTGAGGTATGTGTCCAGGTCCTGGTGCACAGGGGTGTGCGCAGGAGGGCTGGCGTGTGTCCCGGTGCAGGGTGTGTGCGCCGGAGCTGGAGAGATTAGGAAACACACACGTATCCCCCCCAAGGCTGCTGCGGGTCTCTGGGAAGCACCGGGACCCCCAGGCCCTCGCCCCCGGACGCGGGATCGTGGGGCACTCACTGGTGTTGATCAGGAACTGGTTGGAGACGCCCGGGTGATCCACGTCATGGATGGCGGCTGCAAACAGAGCGGCCAGGATCTCCAGGTCGGTGAAGACAGCCTGCCAAGGGCACACACAGGGGGCTGAGGCCGGGCCCGGCTGGTTAACAAGCGAGGGCAGGGGCTGGCTCTGCCCCATGGTTGGGCACGTCGCAGCGCGAGGAACCCAGGAGTCCTGGCTGCCCCCCTGGGCCCGGTCCCTCAGGCCCGCGCCCAGCCATGCCATCGGCACAGCCGGGCGTCACTCTGCCCTGGCTCTCGGGAAGCTGCAGAGATTGTGCGGGGAATTGCCATGTGGGGGTTAGCCCCGGGGCCCATCACCCTGGTATCCTGCCTCGGAGCGGGCCCATGCCAGCTGCTGCCGAGGCTGTCAGACCCCGCAGGAGGCAGCGACGGACCCAGGGCGGGCAGAGAGACAGACAGCTGGGGGTGGATGGACAGACGGACAGGCAGCTTTCCAGCCCCCCCAAATTCGTTTCAGTCCCATTTCCGTCCCTATTCCGGCCGCTTCCCTGACAGCCGGCCGGGCTGGGTCACGTCCCGGACACCCTGCGTCACAAGGGATCGAGAGCTGGCCCCAGGGCCCCCACTCTGCCACCGGTGGCACGAGAGCCCCCAGCGGCCGTTCTGTCCCTGACACGCTCAGCCCCCTGGCGGCCCCCCCACTCACATCCAAGGCGGGCGTGGCCAGCAGGACGTGCGTGGACTGGACCACGTCGGCGGCGTGCAGGCTGTTGTGGTAGGCCACGTCGGCGTGGTAGTGCTCCTCCAGCGTGAGCACGTAGGTCAGCAGCGTCTCCACCGGGATCTTGAAGGTTTTCAGCAGTTCTCTCTCCTGGGGGGGGAAGGGGGCGTTTGTGGCCAGGCAGAGTCATGCCAGAGGGGCCAGCGCCAGACACTCCTGTGGGCGGAGCCCACAGCACCCCCCCCACCCCAGCTTCAGGCCCCCGTCCCACAGAGCTGGGAAGGGACTCCTGATGCCCAGTCCCTCCCCCCCCCCGCTCTAACCACTAGACCCCCACTCCCCTCCCTGAGCCAGGAACAGAACCCAGGAGTCCTGGCTCCCGGCCAGCGCTGAGGATCCCTGGCCAGGCAGGTGCCAGGTGTGAGTCCGTGTGCTGCACAGAGGGGTGGGTGCTGCCAGCCCCCACAGGCAGGCCCCACCCACCGCGCCTGGCCTGGGGCCCTACCTGGAATATCGTGTACATGATGCAGCTGAGCGAGCGGCTCTTGGAATATTCGGAGACATGGAAAATGTTCAGGCCCCACTTGTTGAGATTCTCCAGCTCCTGGAAGGCAGAACAGGGGGTGGTGAGAATGGGGGGAGGGAGGGACAGGGCCCCCACGGAGAGGCCTGGTAGAGCACGTCTGCAGGAGCCCAGAGGTGGGGGTGCCCAGCTGGTCCCACAGCCCCCCCATACTCCTGCCGGTGCCCCTCACTCC